CTGTTTGGGGCAAGTGACTCCATTCTGGCCAGTAAGATGTAAATAGGAATCTGGATTCCTGATGATATTATGAAGCTGCTGCCTATTTCTGGAAGGTTCCTGGAAAAAATAATCAGCTTCCTGTTGCATCTAGCCCAAGTCCTAAATGGTTCAGAGAGGTCTTATCTTTTTCTGCTTTAGAACATAGTTCTTGGAGTAAGAATGCCTCGCTTTGAGTTCCCACTTGGCTGCATAATAGCCAGCTATGCAAAACCTCAGATGAGTTACTTTATCACACTTCCCTTTTTTTGTAAAGTGATAATGAGATAGTACCTAGGAGATGTCTCAATAATACAACACTTGGGTGATCAACTTGTATAGATCCCATGTTCTGTGAAATCCCTGAATCCTAAGCAAACCAGGGCAGGTGGCCACCCTATTAAAATGCACTCTATTAAAACTAGTGTGGCGCTGTAGGAGAAGCACTGTACTGCTAACCATTCAAACCCACCGGCCACTCGTTGGAAACCCTGTATAGGGTCACTATGAGTCGGAACCAACTCTACATCACTTAACAGCTTTCTTTCCGATGGAAGAATAAGTTCAGAAGACTTAAAGTGTATTAGATATTAGATACAGCCCATTAGTGGCTGAACATGGAGTCCTGGTGTGGTGGTGTGGGATAAGCAATGGGCTGCTAACTCCTTAACAACAACAAATGGCTGAATATAATCACATAAATAACAAAAAGACCAAATTACAACAGGTCAGAGGCAGTGTTAGAATGTACCTTTAACCATTTAGATTTAAATTCATTACTGCTGTGTTTTAGTTACAATACACAGATACAATACCAGAGACTTCAAAAAGTTCATGGAAAAATTCCATTCTCTCTTAATTCCATTTTTCCATGTACTTTATGAAGCCCCCCCCATATATATCTTTGAGCTATGTGAACACATATATACACACACACATATTTTTCAGGATCAGTTGAATCTTTTCAGCTCATATTCAAAACTTAGTAATTTTATATTTGAGTCCAATGTTCATATGGGAGAGAAAAAAAAAGCCTAAGGTTTTCTCCCATGAAGGCTTTTTCGGAATTGCTTTCAATATACGATGGAAAGCCCTTAATTTCCCCATCACTCCCTCCAAAATTCTTTGTAAAACCAGGCTATACCACAAATACATCTGTATTGTTGTTGATTCATAGTGACCCTGTATAGGGTTTCCGAATGGCTGGTGAATTTGAACCGTCAACCTTGCAGTTCAAACACACCTTGTGGTCTACTGCATTATCCCACAGTGCCACACCAGGGCTTCTTGTCTGTATTATTCACCAGCAAATAGGGTACCTCATACGATTATTGAGGGGATTAAAGGAAGCCGTGTAGGAAAAGCCTTTTCTGTGAGATTTCACACAGTGTATGTTCTGTAAAGGTTCAGCGTCCTCATGCAAACTCCAATTAGACTCTGGGCAGACTCTTCCTTCGGAAAAGTGACTTCATTCCCCCAAGTGAGTTTTCTCATTTGTATTTGAGGTTACTGTCTCAGAAGATTGTAGAAGACTAACAGTTTGTGGCGCCCATGGAGGGAAGCAGCAAGACTATAATGACGGCTTTAAGGAGTTTCCCAGAGGCCAGTCTCAGATCATCCCTCTCTGAGACTTAGCAGCTCTAAAAGAAGCTGGGCTGGCCCCCAGTGATGGCTTCCTCACCAGACCAGGCACCACTGGAAGTCAACTTAAGAGTCCAGGAAGCCTAGGACCATCAAGAGAGGAAGGCACAAGCAGAATGCGGGACCTTATCCAGAGAAGCAGCAGCACCAGAGATGTAGGCAGAGATGGGGGCATGGAGAGGGGGAGCGGCTGAGGACTCTAGATTCATGGACTAAGAAGAGAAGGACTAAGAGCTGGTGGCCAGGAGCAGACTTGCACAATGTGCCCTTTGGAGATGTAAATTATTATATATGCCTGAGTGAGTTTTTTTTTGTTGTTGTTGTTTGTTTGTTTTTTAAAAAGCTAAAGTGGATAGAGAGAAATACAACAGTATTTCTCTCAGGTACATGGAGGGGATTATAATCATTGTAATGAAACAAGGTATATGATTTGTTGAATGTAAAACTGATGACATGCTCTGTAAACTTTCACTCAATCCACAATAAAAACCTTAAAAAAAAGAAGAGTCTGGGAAGGCTTGACCAACCACTCTGGTAAATAGAAAGGCTTCTTTTCAGCAGAGCTAATTATTAAATATCTGACTTGACTACTGGGCAGGCACTCATATAGGGGTAGAGTCCAGACATTCACTTTAGAGGCCGTGGGCAATAGCAGTTAATCAGTGTCCAGGTTAGAGCTCTTTCCTAGCCACTCTAACCAGAATTGCATTGTGACCACTGGCAACTCTGCTATCTACCAGTGGTTGTGTTTAAACACACTGTGGTATACCTACCCCAACCAGGGCTGCTAAGTTGGTTCAGAAGACTTCTGGGAGACTTGGGGAAGTACAACCACGTCTCTCAAGAGTTCTAGAAAACAGAATCACCCCAACCTTTTGGGTAGTCTAAATCTACTGTAGCTACAGAGAGCCCCAGTTAGACTTTATAATATTGGATTATGTTCCTTAGCTCTGTCCTTAAGTAAATGTAAAAGTAGAAGAACTGCAGCTACACTACACTGAAAAAGGGTTAACTGCTCAATTGGGATAAAAAATGGACATATATGACTGCTGGCTTGGCTGCTTTGTTCATGCAACTCAAACATCTTACAGTCCGGCTCCAGCATGTTGGCTTTAAAGTTTTAACTTCATAGATTTTTAATGAGATTTTAAAAATAACTCATCCATACCATGAATATATATTATGATTATGCAGTGGCTAAAAACAGAGCCAACTACATATATCAACGTGGAAACATCTCCAAGAAATACAGTTAAGAAAAGCAACTTAATGAGAAATACTTCTATGGCATATTATTGAAGGAAACAAATTAATAAAATACGAGGGAGCTTCAAAAAGTTCATGGAGAAGTGGAATTAAAAGATAATAGAATTTTTACACAAACTACTTGAAGTTCCCTCATATATTTGTTCAGGGAAGCAGGTCGAAGCACAATATATGTACAATGATTGTGTTCCTATTAAAAATGATGCATATTTCAGCATCTGCATGGAAGATTTCTGGAAGAGTATTTGTCAAACTGTACACAGTGTCATTTCTGGATGGGGGAGTAGAGAACTTCACACCTGACATTGTTTTTCAGTATTGTTTGACTATTTCCCAGTGGGTGTATATTCATTTTAATCAGAAAAACAGGAAAGCAAAATATATATTTTACATTTGTCATGAATGAACATATTAGACCATTGCCCAGAAACCAAAGACCTTGTCCATGAATTCAAGCTCAGTGCTTATTTACTGTATGAAATGTCTCAGAAACACATAGAGGGAGATAATTTAATGCTGTACAAATTCTGTATTGTGGGAGGCAAAACCTCCATTTTCACGCTTCAGTGTTGGCTCTTACCCAAATTGTTTACTTTCACAAGATGTTACGGTTTGATTTTTTAAAGACTCTTCTGACTCGCTTTATTTTTAAATCTTCAAGCTGGACTTAGTAGTTGTAATTTAGATATTATGAATGGGAGGGGGAAAAAATCAATTGGGCTTAACATATTAGCGCCCTAACACAATTTCCAGGAATAAAAGAAGAGTAAAAAAATATTGCCTGTCATTTGGAAAAGGCTAGAGGGATTTGTAGTTAGAAACCATTAGTTGCAGAGTACAGGTGTTCTTCAAAAATTTATTAATAGAAACAAGTATTCAAGTACAACACTAAACAAAACAAAGAGAAAAGGTTGGAATGCCAATGACAATGGAAGACCTCACTTGCACATACATTTCTTCACAAAGAACTAGCACCATGAGTTCTGAAATTACAGATTTAATTGCAATTTCTTATAATATATAAAAACATCTTATAAATATTATTGAACAATCTAGTAACAAAGAGCTTCCAAAAACTTATTTAAAAACCAACCAGAATTTATAGCTTGAAACTGATGAAACTTGCTTAAAAACTCATCCAATTCTACAGTTTGTCAAAGGGAATGATCTATAATTCTTTCATTGGGAGAACATGCCCAAATTCAGCTGCTGCCCCCTTCTGACCCTCTAAACAGGTACAGGAAATTGAATCTTACTGTATGAATAAAAGCACATCTAAAACTGGTCTTAGAAAATACTTTCCTAGGCTATAAAAATACTAAGTAAAATACAAAAATTTCAGCATATACAGCAAGTAGACTACAGCAGACAAATATTTAAAACATACTTAAAACTATCTTGTACCACAATCATCATGAACATCAAGTATTATTCTAAAGAGCTGTCTTTCTAATTCATTCTGGTTCAAGGTTTTTGTTTTTTTTTTTAACCCTCAAGTTGTGTTACAATGTCAGATACAGACTAAATTCTGTTTCTAGCAAAAGTTACTGGAGGCACCACTGATGACTAATTCTTGATATTCCATCAGTTCTCAAAGTGCCAAAAGTGCAACTGTAGTAGACTGTTTTTAAGATCAGGAGTCAGCAAGCTATAGTCCAAAGACCAAATCTGCTACCACCTGTTTCGTACCATCTATAAGCCATGCTTGTTCTTATGTACAGTCTATGGCTACAACAGCAACAGAGACTGTATGCAGCCTCACCCCTCAATGTCTAAAATGCTTGCTATAAGGCCCATTACAGGAAAAGTCAGCCAACCTATATTTTACATAAATCACTTTCAAGACATTTTTCACCAAACAAGGACAAGGTAAGACTGTCCAGGAGTGAGGAAATTTTGGCTGAGGTTTTCTGGTTCTATAGCAGACTGAAAGAATATGAATTTAGATTGACATCTTTGGGTATCAAAACACTATTCTGGACTTCTAAGCAAAGTCTGGCTATGGTAAACTACCTTTCTTTCTCTATGAACTGGTAATTGTGTACCAAGTAACTCATGTACCAGATTATAGCAGTGTACTTACCCTTCAAACCAAACCATTTATAAGATTCCCGACAGGGTTTCTAGCCTTTAAAAATCAGTATCATGTACCCTTTGCAACAGAAGGAATTTGAAGAGAACCTTTCCCATTTCTTCTGTACTGGCACGGATTTTATAAGCATGACACATTGTGCCTTTTAGAATCCTTCCTTGTGACACGCTTCATAATAATTAGTACCACTGCTACCCAGGGCTGCAAACATGTCCTTTTTGACAAAGTGGACTAAGTTTTCCAGGGGGCACATAGGCTTATGAGAATGCTTGCGGTGCTCCTGGCAAAAAGAGGTGTGGAACGTGACATCGACACCATTGTAAAGAATCCGGACAGAATGCTCACTGGGCTTTTCTCTGTCTTGCCAGAGCTCAAAGATCAACCTGGCCGCAAACCGTGGGAACCTGGCTTCCGCAAGGCCCAAGGCACTGAGAATTGGTGACAAGGTGACATCATGGGCTGAGTAAAGGGCAAAGATCTCTTCTTTCCTGCCTTCCACGGCACGTTGCATGCGGCTGATGGTTTGATTCAGGATGGGGTGGGCGCCCAGTAGTGCATACCCAAGATACAGTTTCTTTTCCCGCCTCTCTCTCTCGTCCTCTATCTGATGTGTCTTGATCACCTTGAAGTGCTCCATGGCAATACAGCCGTTTCCAGTGCAGGGGAAGCTGATATTGTGGCAGAAGTGGCAGAGCATGGAGTCGATGGGGTTCGCGGCTCGCAGCTGCTTAGTGGGGATGTCCACGATCTTGGCCATCTCCCCATAGGTCCTCTCCAGCTGGCTGTTTTTCAAACGTAAGAGGTACTGACGACGCTGCTCTTTTTCTAGATACTGGTTTCTCATTGGGCAATAACAGTTCCCAGAGCAGAACAGAGCACTTGGCTGGTGTCTGAAGTAAACCTTCTTCCAGTCAAAATCCGGGAGAAAGCCATAAAGCAAGGCCAGCCCACTTTGTAGAGTCCGGCTTTTCCCAGTGGTCTCCAAGTAAAGGTGGTCTGCAGACCAGTCAGTTGGCAGGAGTTTATGTTTCTTTAGATAGATGTCCCTCAGTAGCTGACCATTCTGCAAATGCTGTACAACTCCTGAAACACAGGGCAAGACAAAGCTTTTTTACCACCAGCTTAGAAAAAGGAGTTAGCAAAGTCAAGTGTCTAACCCTGGACTGTTGTAGAGGTGTGTGAAATAATAGAATGGACCCCATCGCCCCACTGATAGAAGTTTCAGGAGTGGGTTTCCGTCAACTTGAGTAGATAGCCTTTTGAGGGTATCTGTGAGAGTCCTGCTGTGGCGCTGTAGGATCAGCACCGGACTGCAAACTGTAAGGTTGGCAGCTCACGCCCACCAGTTGCTCCTTGGAAACCTATACAAGGTTGCCGTCAGTCGGAACCAACTCAATGGCACTTACCAATAACAACAATGCAGAGGTGAGGGGAAGGTGATAGGGAGAACTGTCCTGTGGTGCCACAGTCTTTCTAGAGAACACAGGACCATCTGCCTCCCTCCTGCTCTCCTTGACTGGTTCCTTTTCTGGGGAAGCCACTGTGACTGGCAGCCTCAGATGGTAGGAATCACCCAGCTGGTAAATGTCCAGCTATAATTGGCATAGGTCTAGGGAGAACTTTCTCCCTTCTGCTCAGGGGCACAGCACTCCTCAGTGTGCAGGACAGCTCAGGGCAGTCCGTCAGGTAAAGAGGAAAGGAGTCTTTCTGGGAATTCCCTCCTTGGATCTGTTTTGCCGACTCTGCACAACAGAAGCTCTCTGCTAACCCGAGCACATTCTGTCGAGTTGATGGAGGCTCTCGTTAACAAGGAAAGAGGCTCTCTCTCTACTGATCTGAAACTATCTCCCAGATATATTATTTGAAACAAGCTAAGTACAGAGAGTATGTTTAATATGACCCATTTAAATAAAAAAGAGGGAAAAAGAAGAATGTGTATTTTGCAGTTGTTTGTTATGGATTGAATTATGGTTTCCCAGAAATATGGTGTTGTAAATTCTAGCCCCTATACCTTGGAAACCCTATACAGGGTCACTATGAGAACTGACATGAGGGCACTTAACAATAACAATACCTGTGGTTGGAGTCCTGGTGTGGCACTACAAGGTAAACACTGCACTGTTAACCTCAGGATGGTAGTTCAAATTCACCAGCCACTCCTTGGAAACCCTATACAAGGTCGCTCGGAGTCTGAACCAATTTAAAGGCACTTAACAACAACTACCAGATGTACCGCGGGAGAAAGATGAGGCTTTCTGCTCCCGTGAAGATTTACAGCCTCGGAAAACCTGTATAGGGTTGCTATGAGTCAGAACTGACTCCACGGCACATCACAACAACAACATACATGTGATTGGGGTTTTGGTGTGGTGCTTTAGGATAAGTACCTAACTACTAACTACAAGGTTGGTGGTTCAAACCCAAAAACTGCTCCTCAAAATCCCATACAGGGTCATTATGAGTTGGAACTGACTCAAAGTTACTTAACAACAACAACATAGCTGTGGTAATAATCCCATTGGGGAAGAGGGTTTCTTTGTTATGTTAATGAACAATGTAGGGTGTGTTATAAATCAATCTCTATTGAGATATAAAAGAGATTAACAAGTGGGCAGAGATGGAGGAAGAGAGATGCCAAGCAACATGAAGATTGCCCCGGAGCAGAAAATCAAGAGACAAGGACCTTTTTCAGAGAGAGCCTTCCCTTGGAGCTGGCATTCTTAATTCAGACTTCTAGCCTCCCAAACTTCGAGAAAATAAATTCCTGTTTGTTAATGTGACTCACTTGCATTTCTGATTAGGCACTGAACAAGGAAGCACAGATAGGGGAAGAGAGATGCTATACCACATGACGATCACCAAGGAACAGAAGCTGTAAAGATATAAGACCCTCCCCCCCAGAGCTACTTCTGTTATAGCAGCTCTATATAACTAGACACTCGCATGTTGCCTAAAGAAATTTTGGAAGGATGCCTAAGAAGCTACCTACCATCAATAGAATGGATGGAATATAGGTGGCAGCAAGAATTTGAAGTTTACCTTTGAATATGGCTTAAGTTCTGCATTATCACAGTACAATATATTGTCTTTAAAAACTTTAAGATGCTTATCTTTAAGCAAGAGAAGTCAATTCAAGATACAAACAAGTTCACCTTCCAGTGTGGGGACAAAATCTCATGTACCAGATATGCATTAGCGAGGGTATAAACCACACACAGGCTCCATGACCTGTAATATTTATTCAGATGCCCCAAAGTTTGCATAGTTCCACCGCAAAGATTAGATAACTTAAGGCTGGCATGCAAGAGACAAAGGGAAACATACTGACCCAGGAAGGAAAATAGCTCTGTATGAATAGTAGGGGGAACTGAACCCCTCAGGGAACTGGGCTGGAACAGATCTTAGATTTTCCCAAATGATTTGTAAAAGCAGGCAAATCATGAAAGATCGACACTAAGAATTATGTCTGGCCCCAGTTCACCTCCAGTGAATTATTATTTTCTTAGGTTGCATACAGGGAAGCCGGAGTACTTCCTATGTGCCAGGTCTCTTTCATTTAATCCTCAGAAAACCCCAGTGAAGAAGGTATACCCTATGACCCCCATGTCCTGATTCTACAGATGGGGAAACTGAGGCTCTGAGGCACTTGCATTTCTCAAGTGGCAGAGCCACACTCAAGCCTATGTGCTCTCAGTCTCTGCTCACAGAGCTGCCTTCCATGTTCTCACACCTACACTCTAGGGCTTCTCAGACTCTCCAGACACAGCCTATACTTTCATGACTTTTGTCATGCTATTCCCTTGTCTCTGCTCAGATGTCCTCATCCAATGCTACCTGCTTTGCAAAGCCTTCCTCTTCCTCCTCCATGTCTAATGAATGATTCCTCTTGTTCCCATATGCACTGGACCTCAATGACAACATTAGCTAGGGAATCCATCATATTCAGCATGGCACTAGGCACTTTACACCTGCATCCAGTTTGGCGTACCCTAGCGCTTTTGAAGGGCACAGGGAGGAGGGGAGCTTGGTGGTTCCATAGGGTAAGTACTGGATTGTGAATCATAAGGTTGGTGGTTTGAGCCCACCAGCTGCTCCTCAGGAGAAAGATAAGGCTTTTTGGTTCCCACTAAGATTTATAGCCTCAGAAATCTTGTACGAGGTCACTATGAGTCAGAACTGACACGACGGCACTTCACAACAACAGCCGCCCTGTCAGGAAGATGTGATTAGTTTCATTCTACAGATGGTCTGACTCCAAAGCCTCTGTTCATTCTGTAAAGCCCTGCCGCCTTGGGGAATATCCATTTGGGGAATATAATCTTTGTTTGCTATGTTAATGAAGACTTACCAGTATAGGTATGTCTTAAGCTAATCACTTGGGATATAACAGGAGCAGATTAGGCAGAAGCAAGGAAGCAAGATGGGGAGATAGATACTATGCCACATGAAGATCGCCAAGGAACAGAAGCTTAAAAGAGACAAGGGCCTTCCCCCAGAGCCAGTCTTCCTCTAGCGCCTACATCCAGCCTCCTCAACTGTGAGGAAATAAATTTCTGTTTGCGATAGCCTCCCACTTGTGGGATTTCTGTTATCACAGCACTGGATACTAGACAATATACAGTTAAGTAAAAAGTGGGTGGCAAAGTATGTTTAGTAAGATGCCAGTATATGTGTGTCTATGTGTGCACAAAAAAGTAGATTACTAATGGTCTGCTTCTTTGACTGGCAGGAGGATAATTGCTTTATATTTTTATTCCTTTTGCTTATCTTTCCTAAATTTCTTCCAAGGGGCCCTTGGTGGCACAGTGGTTAAGTACTTGGCTGCTAATTGTATGGTTGGTGGTTCAAACCCAACAGTGCTCCATGGAAGAAAAAAACATGCAATCTGTTTCTATAAAACTTTCAACCTGCTGAGAACAAACAAGATGGCGGATCGGGTGGCTGTATAGCAGAGAGCTCCGCCAACAACAACACAAAATACCCGACCAAGCAGGCTCAGGGGATGGTCCCAGAACTCTGAACTACATATAAAGGAATACTTAGAAGGTTGGAAGGCTCACA